GGTTTTTTTTTTTTTTTTTTTTTTTTTTTTTTTTTTTGGTTTTTCGAGACAGGGTTTCACTATGTAGCTTTGGAGCCTATCCTGGCACTCGCTATGGAGACCAGGCTGGCCTCGAACTCACAGAGATCCGCCTGCCTCTGCCTCCCAAGTGTTGGGATTAAAGGTGTGCGCCACCAACGCCCAGCGTATTTACTGATCTTATGAAGAGAAAAATTGGAGGAAGTGAGAGAGAAAGTGAAGGAGAGCTGAGGGGCCACAGTTAGCCTCCCTGCTGCAAACAGGATGCTGTCAGAATACTGAAGAAAGCAGTCTAGGGTGCAGCATTTCCCATGCACTTTGAATGGTAGGGAGGCTCCATTTGAAGCTTTAGGGTGTTTAATCTGAAAATGCAGGTTCCTGGGCACCACAGCAGAGCTTGTCAGTGATTTATAAGCAGAAGCCAGGAATGTGCATTTTACGAAAAAATGTGGAAGCTGATCTGTGAGCTGCTACTGAGAACTGCTGTATAAGAGAGACTGGCTAACAGCAGGCTTGTCACAACCCATCTTTAGTGTGAGCAGACACATTTCCTTACAAGGTGGGGAAGACAGATGAAATCTATAGCATGATTGGAGGGAGCATTAGGCCAACTTTTTTTTTTTTTTGTGACAGCATCTCACAGTGTAACAGTCTTGGCTGGTGTAGAACTCAGTATGTAGATGAGGTTGTCCTCAGAGTCACAGTGACCCACCTGCCTCCACTTTCCAAATGCTGGATTAAAGACATGTACCACCATGCCTGGCCTAAGGAAGATAATGTTGGTCCAAACAGTTGAGTTTTAAGTTTACTATGTGTTTTAGAAGCTAAACACAGAAAACATTAGCAGAGAATAAAATGAAAGTATTTTGTGTCAAGAAGGAAGTTACTGAAGTGCCGTTTATTACCTACTGTAATTTCAGCTATAGTGTAATTGACAGACTCATCTCAGTAATAAAAAACTTTGTCATCTTTATTTTAAATTAACAGAATTTGGAGAAAACAGAGTAAGTCCCCTACCCAGGTGCTGTAGCACGCCCTTCCCTGCCAGGTTATACACTACAAGCCTAGGCTCAGGTGTTTTCCTAAGACATTGAAAATTTCCCTTATTTATGAAGTTTATCTTGTGGTCTCTGACCAGAGAGAGAGACACAGACTGACCTATGACATCTGGCATACTTCCAGGGCAGACTACAAAAAGGGAATTAAATCCCTAACTCACCCATTCACATAGGCTCATATCATTATAAAGAACTTTGCTTGGGGGAAGGGGAGAGATGGTGGCTGTCTGGTTTCAGGTTTGAATGACTAAAGAAGGGAAAAGCCATCCATTAAACACCCTGAATTGCTAGGGTTAGTTAAGGAAAACTCTTCCTTCAGCAGAGTTTTTTTTTCCTCCGAAGTAAAATGCTCCTGGTTTAAGCTTCTTGTGCTGTGTTACATTTGGGGCATCATCTCCTTCAGCTGTCACTGTCTTACCCTCAACCAGCTCTCTCTCAAAGCTGGCTCTGGGAAGCAGCTTCTATGGCAAGCGTCTGAGGCAGATTGGCACACTGAGCAGTGAGGATTTCTTCAGTTGCTGGTGGGTTTCTTAGGAAGCATAAAATCTTGTAGATAAATTTGTTAATGGCTTTTGAGGCAAGGTTCCTAATGTTCCCTCATCAAACGCTGTTAAAATGCTATTACTCCCGCATAAAATGAACCGTCTCCTCCAGCGTTTGGGTACATTAAAGGCTGTCCTGTGCCAGTATTCAGTATAAAAAATGTAAGGCTCTGAGTTGATTAAGATAGACTGCTGATTGACCACAGGAGATCATAGTCTGTAAGCCTACTGTAACCTTACAATTTATGGACTACTGTCTAGTGACAACTAATTTCATTACTGAGCACTGCATTCATGAACAACACAGTGGGAGTACTCGGATGCTCTGTGTCACAGTAGTGACAACTTGATGGCATGTATCCTTGTATGTGATTTGTGTGTGCCCAGGTATCTTTCTAAAAACAATGCCTTAAAAAAACAAAAACAAACAAACAAACAAAAAAAACATCATTTTGGCTTTGCTCAGCAAGAAATTTGGAATTTAGGACCTTTTATAAAATCTACCTATTGCTCATTTTGCTAAGTTATCCACAAATTTAGGAAATGCTATTTCATTGTAGAAAACCTATAAAACTTCCTTCAACATTGACTTTTATTGAGCATTTGTTGTCAATGGACAGGGAAAGCTGTTAAAAATTGTCTTTATGTTACAGTGTAGTTTGCGTGAGCCAAGACTACAATTAATTAGAACTTTAAATTAACATTTTATTATCTAGTGGAAATATGACTGATAGCCTGTGCTTATTCAGGTAGAATTAGGATTTGGAATGGATTAGATTCATTGGTTTAAATACTATGTTTATGTTTCTCTCATGGAAAAGTCATGGAGGAAGTTGAAGGCTGACATGGAGCCTTGAGTGTCAACAGGGGCCCAGGTTCCTCTACTGCTTTCTCGCTCCATAGCCACTAATTCTAGCTCTTGGTCACTGTGGCTGTTAAGGGCCAGCTGTTTCTTCAGCTTTTCTAGCTGCTAAAAGGAAAGGGCGCAAAAGAAAAAAATGCATTCCCTTCCCTAAAAAAGATTTTGTGGATACCCCGACTCAGTGCTAAGTTCTCCTCAGTGTTCATTGGCTGGTGTACTGTCACATGGACACTGTTGGTTACAAAGGAAGGGGGGCTCATGTCGTCTGCTAGCTGGATTTCATTGCAAAAGATGAATGTAGACTTTCAGACAAAAACCTATTAGTATCTTAAGAGCTCCTATGTTCAAGCAAAACTATCTTAATTATGTGTTGTACAGCCAGTTGGACCTGGTCCTCATTTTTATTTTTCCATCTGCAAATTCTCCCTAACGTCTGTCCTCTTGGTCAGGAATTTTGTAAGAATGAACTTACTAATGTGCTAAACGTTTAAATCAGGTAAGCAATACTTTCCCCCTCTTCATTTCCAAAGGAACTCAAAACAATTTTCTTCTTTTGGAAAAGAAGTCTTCATCTCACACTTAATGCTTTTTCCATAAAGCCTGCTCCAGAGAAATATTTCTGACTTCAGAGTTCTAAGTTGTGCCTGGCGCTCAGTGTGCCTCCCCTCCAGAAGAGACGGCAGCTGCTGTGCTCCGCGCTCCAGCCTTCTCTAACTGATGAACTAGTTCTCTGTCTCCCCTTTCTTCTCCTTTCAAAACCATGTTTACTAGTGTGGATTTCCTTTTGCCACACATACATCAGTCCACACTAACTCCACAATAACACGCCTCTGTTCTCCTTTGTGACTGAGATTTACAGCTATAGAATGAGGCTGTGCAGCTCTCTGATGCCTTGTATGTGCTCTTGGCTTACTTAGCTAGCCTTGAAGATGAGAGGGTTCTGGTGAAGAGAGGAAGTTCGGTGTGTTTAGTACTATATGTGTACTAAATGCTTGCACTCCCATAGCTTTTCCCCTTTTTTGTCTTTTAGTGAACTCTGAGACTAGTAGGGATGAGGTACTTCAACTTTCTGCCAGGGCACCTCTGTGTGATTCGTGCTTTGGAAGATAGCCATTACAATTAGAAGTTACAAATCTGTTTCTGCCTAATAGTGTGGTCTAATTAGCTAATTCTGGCTTGGATAAGAGTAAACTTTGGAATAACCACATGTGTGCAAAATATGTTATTAGTAAGAGTTACTATGTCTATGGTCAAACAAAACTTGAAGTAAATAAAAGGTTGGCAAGATGGCTCAGAGTAAAAGGCATGCTTCCCAAGCATGGGGGCTGGAGTTTCCTAGCTCCCAAATACAAACTGAGAGAGTATAGCAGTCCACTTGTAATCCCAAACCCAGCACTCTCTTGTAACTCTAGGTGGAGATGGTATCCTTAGGCACACTGGCCAGCTAGACTACCCAAGTCTGCCAGCTTCAGGTTTGGCAAGAGACCCTGTCTCAGTATATAAGGTATAAATTGGCCAAGGAAAACACCTGTCATCAACCTCTGGCCTCCACACACACAGGTCTCCATATATGCAAACACACGCGCACAACACACAAATACAATAAAGAAAGCAGAGGAGGAGGAAGGTGGACAACCCTCACTTTTCAAACTGTTCTGCAACAGGACTATCTTGGTTTTACTCTAAAATGGAACATGAAGATATTTTACAGAACTGAGCATGTTAACTATGTGGTTTTAGTCAAATTTAAACATTGTGTCTATGAGATGCCATCATTAAGCCTCACAACCCTGGCATCCTTTTATACTTGTGGTAGAGGAGCAAAATCCCATGACCCAGAAAAGAAAAGAAAAGAAAAGGAAAGGAAAGGAAAGAAAAAAGAGAAAAGAAAAAGTCAAAGCACTGCACCTTGTAACAGTCCATCTGATGTTCACATGACAGGAAGAGTAAAAAAGTACACAGACATCAGTGCCTGGTGGGGAAAGCAGATCCCATCCCATGGGCT